AGTATCTGTAGCCTCTGGTGCACAGTTACAGTGGGTAGTGGTCCTTGGCACAAGTCCAGAGCAGGGCTTGAACTTGTGTTTCAGGAGCTGGAGCAAAATGTTTCTTCTATACTTAAGGAAATAAATCTCTGCCTTTTTCATGACTTTAAATAGGCCTTTTCCTTGCATATTATATAGGGGCAGATCCAGAGGAGACACACTGGTGCACTCCCCCTCATCCCACCACCCTTGGATTTCTGCTCCATCCAAAGCTTAAAAACAAATGCCTGGCAGTGGCAGCATTTCTAGTCAGGTGGTGTTGAGGGAGCTGATTGACTCATTGCTCATCATCTACCTGATACCTTCTATACTCTTCATTTCACAGGTGTTAATGACCTTTTTTTTTTAAATGCTCTTGATATTCTGCCAGTCAAGCTGTCTTTTCTTCTGCAATTCTGATGTCTGCTAGCTGCTCCTAGTAATGAAGCTCCTATTTTACAGCCTTGCAGATTTTTTTAACTCATTCTATTGAAGTTATATACGTTTTTGCTTCAATCCTAAACTGATTAATAGAGGCTTAGGTCCCTAGCATATTCGTAAGACTTCTAGTTCCTTTCAACTGGAGAAAAATATGTATTGTTTTATACATGATGATGCAGCTCACCATCTGCAACCCCCTTTTTCAAAGCTCTAGATCCACCCATGATATTGGACACAATTCCCAATACAGATAAAGCCTCCTTTCTCACCACAGCCCTGTGCCCAGGCTTGAACTCTCAGACACACCTTATGCTAGCTCAGCCTATGAGACAAAGCTAGGACAGGCTACATCCAGTTCTTGATCCAGGTCACAAGAAAATGAAACTAATGATGTCACACACTGTGCAAAGTGCCATGGCTGGAAGGAGTCTTGCAGGAAAAATCCAAGATGAACTACTTTGTTCCATCTGCCTGGACTGTTTCGTAGTCCCTGTGACCATCCACTGCGGGCACAATTTTTGCCAAGCCTGCATCAGTCAATTCTGGGCGGAATCAGATGCAAACTTCTCCTGCCCTGAGTGCAGAAGAACTGCCCAACAGGAAAGCTTCATGCCCAACAAGACCCTGGAACGAATGACAGAGTTAGCCCAGCAGCTGTATTCCAAGGAAGCAAAAGGAGCAGCAGGAGGGAAGAGGGTGTGTGAGAAACACAAGGAGGCCCTGAAACTCTTCTGTGAAGATCATCAAGCAGCCATCTGTGTGGTCTGCAAAGAGTCCCGGGATCATCAAGGTCACACTATGATTCCTGCAGAGGAGGCTGCCCAGGAATACAAGGTAGGAAATCCCTGTCTAATGCCAAAAGCTGCCCTTGTAGAGGTTAAAAATATATTTCCAAGACCAAAGTGCAGCAGCAGCAGCACAGACAGGGGTCAGGTAGTCTGGCCTCATCACTATGCATTTCCAAACTTTTAAATAGCTGAGCTTCATTCACCTCAAATTCATAGCTTCATAGGTGGTAGGGTTGGAAGGGACCTGAGCAGATCATCAAGTTTGATCCCCTGCCATGGGCAGGAAAGGATGCTGGGGTCAAATGACCCCTGGCTAGGTGATTATCTAGCCTCCTTTTGAAGACCCCCCAGGGTAGGAGCCAGCACCACTTCTCTTGGAAGTTGGTTCCAGATCCTAGCCGCCCTGACTGTGAAGTAGCGCCTCCTGATGTCTAGTCTGAATCTAGTCTCAGTCAACTTATGGCCGTTGTTCCTTGTTACTCCTGTTAGTGCTCAGGGGAACAGGGACTCTCCCAATGCCTGCTGATCTCCCTTGGCCAGTTTATACACAGCCACCAGATCCCCTCTCAGCCTTCTCATCATTTCCCCCTCTTATAATGGCTGAGTCTGTTTACCACAATCTTCTCATAAGCATTTTACCTGCAAGTCACTAATCTTTTGTGTTTAGTCTTGAATCAAGTTTCCCTCTCCCTTATATGGTAAAGCCTTTCTCCTGTCTAAAAAAATGGAGATTCAAAACACACAAGACTGGCCCAAAATTCGTAATATATATTAGCAAAGATAAACTCATGTCCTAATCAAAATTTGCTCAGTTATCCCATCCACATTCCCAGTTTCATTAGTCTAGAACCCAATTAGTGAAATAACCTGTTCCTTGAGGACAATGAAGGATTCACTGGTTAATGGACAAATCTACTGAATTGCACTGTCAAAACTCATTTCCTCCCATTTCCTTAACTGCATGGTGTGTAGCAGGTAGAACTGTAGGTATTAAACCATCTCTTAGCATGCTAAAAGGCCAGGATTACATGTTGAGGCACCCAAGTCTCTGTATCTGCAAACATCAGAACAAACAAGGCCCTTTCAGGAGCCTGTCCCTCCCCAGATCCACACCTCGTTCAGCACCTCCCAACAGATTCGACCTGTGGGGTTTCAGGCAAGTCCAACTGCCCTCTCCTGTTGGGTTAAAGAGACTGGAAAGAATTTAAACTGTTTTGGTGCATGTAGTAGGAGAGGCTGCTCTTCAACCTCAGCATGGAAATCCATTTTCTTTTCTCAGGAACAAATCCAAGCCCAACTGCAGCCTCTGATGGAAGAGAGAGAGAAGCTCCTGCAGTTTAAATTGATTGGAGCAAAGAGTACCCAGGTGTATGTGGTAGGTGTCCATTATTATTGCTTACCATGGGAACCAAGCATTCTCCAGGAGTATTTGTGTGTGTGTCATTGACGGGGAAAGTCTGTGTGTCTCCATGTGTCACTGCGTGGGGTATGCATACCCATAGGTTGTAATATGTGGGCTGAATCGCAGCCATGTCTCCTTGCTCTACCCTGGGACAACTGCCCAAAAGCACTGAGCAGCACTGGGGAGTTCGGGCACCGAGAGAGCCCTAAAGGAGGATGTGCTCTCCTTTGGCCAGGCTGGAGAGGATTTGTGGTCACAGCCCTGCCTCCTCCCTCCCCACCAGTGTCGTACACCTAGGCCACGTCCAGATGAGTGCGGCTGTGTGGTATGTGGCACTGCAGACACCTCTGCAGTGCTACATACCACACGTTCAGTTCTTCTCCATGTTGCAGGCAGCAGTGGGACGGGGTTTTTTGACCCCAAAAAATCCCCGAAGGAAAAAGGTGGAGCAGCACATGCATGGGCAGTGTGTGCTGCTCAAAAGTGAAGCTGGGCTGCCTGGAGTTGTGCTGCAGCTGCCAGCCAGCCTCCATGCACCTGGATCACTGCTGCTGCAGCCCTGGGAGGCCCCCAAGACTCCAGGTAAGGATGCTGCGGCCAGCCCATTGCTGGTCCCAGCCTCCTCTAGCACCTCCTGGTAGCATTCCCTCTAAGCTGTGTGGTGTGTGCGGCTGCACAGGTGCACCCAGCAGTGTAGCATGAGTGCACCTGCATGGCTGCACACACCACGCAGCTTAGAGGGAACACTGCCTCCCAGGTAACTTGCTGTGTCCACATGTGGCACGTGCCTTCCCCAGGGACAAGGTGCACCGCTGCTAGTTGTCCCCAGGAAACCAAACACCCACACATGTGTGGATGTGGCCCTAAGGTGCATACACATGTACTAACTTCCTGACAGTTAAGCTGTCATAACTTTTTTAAGTCAACTTAAGTGTCATAACATACACACATATGTGGAGCAGAGACAACTTAAATGTGGCACAAAATAATATATCTCCGAGGTATATTATATTGAGTCATAGAATCATAGAAAGTTAGGGTTGGAAGGGACCTCAGGAGGTCATGTAGTCCACCCCCCTGCTCAGAGTAGGACCATCCCCAACTAGATCATTCCAGCCAAAGCTTTGTCTAGCTGGGTTTTGAAAACCTCCAAGGATGGAGTTTCCACCACCTCTCTGGGTAACTGGCTCCAGTGTTTTACTACCCTCCTAGTGAGAAAATCCTTTACTACAACTTCAGATCATTACTCCTTGTTGCATCAACAGGGGTGTCAGCAGTGGGATTTGAACCCACATCTCCATATAGAGACCAGAACACCCAGGAGAGGGGAAGATAAAGCCTTGAGTCTGATGTTTTAGACCCTGCCACCATTCTGATGAGGGCTAGCTCTGGTGACTTAGCTCACAAGATGTCTGCTACCATGTCAAGGAGCTGTACCTGCGTACATTTTTATGTGGCTTAACTTAAGTCGACTTAGTTAAGTCTCCTTATTTTAAATTGACTTAGCATGTATGTATGGACACCCAAAGACTTCTTTCTGCTCAGGGATGGCAGAGACTGCAGTTCTGGTCCAGCCATTGGTTAGGCAGAGGGAGGCTAGTTTGTGCCCTTTTCATTCCAGGTCTCATACTCCCTGTGCAACCTGATGGACACAAGCTGGTCCTAAGAGTCTGGAAAAGGGAGAGCTAAGTCAGTGCCCCTCTCCTCACACTGCCACACAGCCTGAGCTTAGTACCTTCCATACAGTTGGTTGCTAAAGCACAACTTGCCAGTGTCAAGCTGCATCATTATCATAGAGCATCAATTTCCCCAGCATGTAAGTTAATTCTCCAAGTTAATTTAGAGAGCAAAATAGGCCCACTGTTACCTGCTGAAATATTACATTGATTTGAAAGTGGATTCAGATAGTAGCTGAAGTCAGCCTCAATCAGATAAACTCAGTTCAGGGTTGATCATTCCCATACTTCTTCATTGTTACAGATTTTAGCTTGTCTTCTGAGTTTAATTCTTTGCTTCGTGGCTTGCTGGGCTAAAGTTCTGGAATGATATGAAGCAGCGCCCGATAACCTTAACTTAACCAAGGAAAATGTTTGTTTTCCTGAGTAAATGCACACGTGTGCCTCTACCGCTGCCTATGGCACATTGAGGGCCAGTCATGTTGAGTGACTATCAGGATAGTTCCAACCAAGACTTTAGATTTAATATCTTTACTTTTCTTTATTGTTGTTATATTTTTTTTACCCTTCCTTTCTCTTGCAAAATCTCAGCCATTGTAGTTTTAATTCCTGGAAGGAATGGGATTTTCACAGCCCCCAGTAGACTGAACCCTTTTCATTTCTTCCAGAAAGTAAGTCATTGTTAAAAAATGTATGGGTCTTTTAAAGTTCTGGTCACACAAGAGTTTCGATAAATATTTTCAGGTCTGATTTTTTAAAATTCCAGTGAAATTCCTTCTGTGGGTGGGGTTTGTGAAGTGTCCCCAATTTCCATTAATTTTCCCCATCCTGACCTTTCCTTACTTTTTTCTGTTCATTCTAGGCAAAAGCAGAAGGCAAGAGGCAGGCGATGGCTTCTGAATTTGCACAACTGTACCAAATCCTAACAGAACGAGAACAACTCTATCTGGCCCAGATGTATGAGCTGGAAAATGAGATTTTGAATATGCAGGAGGAAAATGACACCCAACTTGCCAAGGATATTTCCTGTCTCAACACCCTGATCAAGGAGATGGAGGGGAAGTGCCAGCAGACAGCAAGTGAATTCTTGCAGGTGAAAGCTCAGATCCTGGGAGGTAGGAAAAGAGGGGACGGGAAATGGAAATGGGGTAAAGGGTAATACTCTTGAGGCCTGAGGCCCAGAGTTCAAACTCCACTGGGTGCATTGTATGAAAAGGAATTTTCTTTTGTATCATTTAAATGTGAATTCTCCATTATGTTACCCTTTTGCCTCAGTCTATTTTAGTCATGAATTTTACTTTCATAATGTGCTAGAGTCCCAGGATCTGAAGAGAGGCTTCCCTCAGTATGGGTGAGATTTTCATTCCCCTGCTTTGTCACATACCTTATTTACTTGAATCCAAGATGAGGGTTTTTCCCATATAACAAGGGGAAAACAAGCCCCTCACCTTGGATTTGAGTATGAGGGGGAGACAGGGGGCAGGCATATCATAGGTTGCTGCTGTGGCTTTGACTCTGGCCCTGACTCAGTGTTGGAGCCACAACCACTGCCCATCCCTGTGCTGCCTCTACCCTGAAGCCTCTGCCTCCCCTGCAGCCCGTATCCCATCCCCTACTACCACTTACCCTCCAGCTCTGGCTTTGGCTCCAACTCCAGCTGTGCTTCACCTTGGATCATGGAGTGCATGGTTTCTCTTGCCCCAGTCCAGCCTCGAGTTGCCACTGCTGCTGTGTGGCTGGACTGGGGCTGGAGCAACCATATGCTTTGTGCCCCAGGCTGGAGTGGGGCCAGAGCTCTGCTGGTGCTGGAGCTGCAGCTGAAACCAGATCCAGAAGGTAAGAGGCAGGGGGTGTGTGGGGCAAGACAGAGGCAGTGAGGGAAAGCAGGTAGGACAGAGGCTGTGGGGAGGGGCAGGCAGCAGGGGGTAGGGAGGAAGCTGGACAGGTGCTGGGGCATGCAGGCACCAGGTGGGGGCAGGCAGTAGTGGAGGCAAGTGGGAGGTGGGGATAGGCAGCAGGCAAGATGTAGGGGGGCAAGGGACAGAGGTCGGGCCACTTGACTCTTCTGCCATATGCTCCCTCATCATGTTCATATTTCCTGAGCTTTCTGTTCTCTCTTTCTCTCTTCTCTAGGATATTGAGAGGACCTTGAATAGGTATGTGCCACCTCTTTACCCTCCTTCATACTTTACTGTGTGAGGCAGGGCCTTGGACATTGAGTTAGACTACATCTTCCCAGGATGCTACAGTACATGTGTGGGGCAGGTACAAATCTTCATCTGCTGAATGTAAACCAGATAAAGTTTTCCTTTACTGAAGGGATTGGGGAATTGGAGAGGCGAGCTTCACTTCAGACCAGGAGTGATTATTCTGCCCAGATCATGGGTATTCAAATACTCTCTAAACATTTGGGAAGTCAGGATATATTTGGGAAGCTCCCTTCTGAGAGCAGAATATGTTGCTTTTCTTGAGCGGAATGAGTCTCACTGCGAGAAGGGTTGTAAGGTATATGGTAATGTCATGTTAGGTGCTGTGTATGATACCACCCAGCCACCTAGCGGTAGCTTCTGTGAAAAGATCTGGGGTGGTGGGTCTCCATCCATTTATAGATGGATGGATCTCAGCACAACACAGGCCTTCCCAGCCTCTCTTGGTCTGAATCAGTTTCTGAAAATTTCTCTTCATGGCACAAGGAGGCACAGTGACATTGCAGCTTCTTGATCCTTCTGCCTATTCCTTTCTCCCCTGGATGCACACTCTCTTTTTCAAGGTCATAGCCAAAACAAATGGATGGGCCAGTCCAGGGGATGCTTATGTTGCTAGTACCTGGGTTGTACCTGCTCTGATGCTGAAAGTTACCTCCCTCTTTAACACTATTTCCTGGCAAAGCATTCATGTGAATGAAGACTACAGAAAAGAAAATGGTAGATGAAGGATAAAATAATGCAATAGAAAACTATATTGATCTCTCCCTAGGTGGAAGGAGTGGAAGTTCCAGCAGCACGTGGATATTGCTCTTGCGCTGGAAAAGCGAGTCTATGAATTCTCCCCAAATTTTTCTGTTGTAAAGGCAACTCTGAGGAACATCCAAGGTACTGATTAGTTTGAGCAAACTGTGTTATGTCTCTGTGATGTTGGGAGAAAGAAAGGCTATTGCAAAACCTGATTGTAAAGTGTAGAAAAAAATAATCTAGATTTTTTAATTGGAGAAAGGGTTTAGAAATGTTTCCAGGTATAATAAATTGATAGGGAAACAGCAGTGAATTACTTAAAACCCGTTGTTATTGTTCTGACCAGGCCTGGCTATTCTCTGTGAGGTTACTGGTCTTCTGTGATTAGACCCACTCTAAGGGTGGCAAGAGCCTCTGAGGCACCTGGGTCTGCTGAGACTCTTGTCAGTGTTTCTAGTTGTGGGGCTTTTGTGCAAAGTTCAAGACATCCAACCTGGGACATAGGAACTGCTCTCCAGCTGCCCTGCAATTAAGGTGACCAGATTATTTTAAAGGAAATCCGGGACACTTATTTCCCCTACCCTCACCACAGTCAGTGGCACTGCTGCAGGCAAAACTGGGACCTGTGATCACCCAGCTTACAACCCAGACCTTGTGTCTAGGCTTCCAGAGCTTGCTCAGCTACTTACAAACATTCTCTAAGAGCTCATCTAGGATATAGACAGTTTTCCAGCTGAATACTTTGGGGGACAACATGGCTGGAAAGCAAGGAACACAGGCTCAGCAAACCAACTCCTTGGCCACAGAGGCCTTGTTCTTAAAACACACAAGGAGGTACAGGTCTCTGGAAATGATACAAGGCCCAAGGTGTACAGTCATGTAGTCTGAATTTTGCTTTCTGGGAGTTTGGAGTTCCTGAGCATTTCAGGCTGGGAAATAATACCTCCTTCCCACTTAATCCTAATGGGTGGTGATGGTTGTATTCCCCACAGTCAGAGTAGAAGCCTATGCTTAAAAAAGGCATTAAGCTGTGTGCTCAAACCTTCTGCCCCATGCATTAAAATTGCCCCTACCACAGCTGGCAGCTCCTTATAGAAAAAGTGATTTTCACATGCATGTGCGAGCCAAGTCCATGACTTCAGGCTGCAGTCCTGATGGCTTTCCATGATAATCCTTCAGGGAAGCTGTCTACAATGCAGCAGTATAGACATACTCATGGGTAAGAGAGATGGGTAGTCAGGTTACTCTTTTGAAATGGAGGGCAACAAGAGAGCTAGCTCATCTGATGCAGGCACATGCCACCTTGTCACAGTTTTAACCATGCCCTAATTCATGACCTGAAAGCTGTTGGATGATGCAAAGTGCTGCTGTTCTCCTTTCTTGGTCCTGTTTCATTCCAAACAGACCTTTTCCATCATTTTCCATATCAGAAAGACCAGCGGCATTAAGTGCCATGTGAGCGAGGCTTATAATTGTATTTCTGGGACTTAAGTGGTGTTTAGGCCTAGTACTGGCTATTCTGTAATCAGATGAAATTCACATTTGGGGAGCTTTGACATGTCTCTGTATGCCTTTCTCCTTCCCTTTCTTTTTCCTTCCAGAATTATAGCACCATTACCCTGATTTGTAGTAAAAATTGGGCATTGTGAAGCAAAGTGATAATACAAAACTTCTCTTTCTTCTCTCTCCCTCTACTGTCTAGGCACTCTGGTGTTTAAGCCGCCAGAAGCAGGTATGTCAGCCTGGGAAAGAATGGGATGGCAGAGCACAGGGTGGGGCCATGGGGAAGAGTGTCCTTGATTCACAGCTGTCCTTGATTCACAGATGTTTTGTTAATTAAAGGGAAATTATTGTGTGGCATTGGATTCATCTGCAGCAGAAGCCTCCGAGGTTAAGCACCTCAAAGGCTCCCAACAACATAAAGTGAATATTGCGGGGAAGGGCACTGACTTTCTGCAGGTCAGCTCATTAACCTTTCATCTGTGCTTAAGAAAATCCCTAACTCAAACACACTGTTGCTGACTCAAGGAGTGACTGGGCAGGGCTGGTATGTTCAGGTCTTTGCCTGGCTTGATCTGCCACTTCCAGTAACTCCATGGGGCATCATCCTGTCACCTGTTTCGCCTGCTGGGTTTTAACTTTACTTTCCCTGTGGGCTATGGTGTCTCCAATCTGGCCTATTCCTTCAGCCTGAATAAACCTCAGAAACTGATACCTCTTTGGTCCCAGCCCAACCCCATCTGCCCCAACTACCCAGTCCTACCTGCTGGGAGCAGGGAGATGAAGCAGGGGAGGAGGCAGAGAGCAAGAACATCCCTGTCCAGCTCCAGCAAAGAGGCAGCTCCCTTGGATCCAGCCCTGAGATGGAGGAGATCAGGGAGGGTCCCAGCCAGACTGGGGCTGTTGGGGAGGGTGAGGACCGGCCCCAGCCTTTCCCAGGCCTGAGCTCTGCCTTGGATGCATTGGTTTTCTCTTCTTCTTTAGCGAAGGTGACTCTGGATCCAGCTACGGCTCATCCCCAACTCATCCTGTCTGAGAATCGGAAAAGCGTGAGCTGGGGAAAAGCATGGCAGCTTCTGCCCAAGAATCCTGAGAGATTTGATACTGTTGACTGCGTGCTGGGCTGCGAGGGATTCGCCTCAGGGAAACATTTCTGGGAAGTGGAGGTGGGGGACAAGGGAGCCTGGGCTGTGGGGGTTGCCAGAGGGTCTGTGAAGAGGAAGGGACACCTCAGCCCTAACCCCGAGGGAGGGATCTGGGCTGTGGAGCGGTGGTGGAGGGGTGAGTACATTGCTCTCACCTCCCCTGATTGGACACCCCTGTTCCTGGGGTCAGCCCCCAGAAGGGTCCAGGTGTATCTGAATTATGAATGGGGTCAGGTAACATTTACTGATGCTGATACGAATGCCCTGATCTTCACTTTCCCACTGGCTTCATTCACAGGGGAGAAAGTATACCCCTGGTTCCGGGTTGGGGAGGGAACCCAGCTCAGCCTGTGCTCCTGAAATATGAAGAAACCTTGTCCATTTTTACTCCCAAAATGAGCTTTATTTAGCATTTTCATCCAGGTCTCTCTGCACCTAGAGGACTCCCATCTATCACTCAATCAGTCAATAAACTTTGTTTAACTTCTGGTTTCAGTTAAGCTAATAATGAATCTAATAATGGATAATGTGGAGAATTCTGAAACATTTAATGCCTTTCTTCACTTGAGTCTTCGCAAAAAAAAAAAATCAACCGTCAGAGGACAAGCATGGTTAGCAGCAAGAACAGGGATGGAAACAATCAGCTTAGAGATGGGAAACGGCAGGTTACGCATTACTTGAAAGAGCTGGCTGTTTTTAAGTCCACAGAGCTGAACAAGATTCATGCTACAGTTTTGGATGGAGCTTAGTTGCAGTGCCACTGGCTGTTCTCTTTGACAACTCGTGCATGCCAGGTGAGGTCCAGATGACTAGAAAATGGCAAATATAGTGCCCAACTTTGAAAAAAAGGAATAAACAAAAGGGAATTTACAGTCTAGTCAGTATAACTTTGATATCAGGAAAGAATCTGAAGCATACGGTCAAGCAATCTCTTTTTAAGCAACTTTAAGATATAACAAGGTGATCAAGAACAGCCAACATGTATTTGTCAAGTCATACCTGACCAATTTTATCTCCTTCTACCAAAAGGTGACAGGTTTTGTGTATGGGAGGGAGAGCAGTGGATGTGATAAACCTTGACTTCAGCAAGACTTTTAACACTATCTCCCATGATATTATTATTAGGAAGTTTAGGCAAATCCAGTCCAGAAGAATGTACTGTAACATAGATATGTAACTTGGTTGGATCATTGTGCCCAAAGAGTAGTCATCAACGTGTCATTGATAAACTAGGAAGATGTGTTAGGTAGGATTACACAGAGGAACATGGCATATAAGAAAAGATTGGAAGAACTGGGAGTATTTAGGCTGGAAAAAAGATGATTGAGCGGGGATTTGATAACAGTCTTCAAATAAATGAAAGCTAGTTATAAAGAGGATGGGGACTGACTAGCCTTTGTAGCCTCAGAGAAGAGGACAAAAAGAAATTATGGATGGCTATGAGGAATAATTTTCTAATTGTGAAAGTGGCTAAGCAGGTGAGCAGATTACCAAGAAAGTCTGTAAAACTTCCATCCTTGGAAGTTTTTAAGACCAGGTTAGACAACGCTTGGCTGAGATGATTTGGAAAGACTGGGTTTGATTAAATGACCTCCTGAGGTCCATTCCAGTTTGATTTCCCCCACCCCTATGGTTCTGTTACCCCAAAAGCTAAATTATATCCTGGGTTAATTTGGTATGCTCTTACACCACAGGGGGTAGGAGAGGATGGGCTAGACATTGAGACTTGCCTAATGGTCTGGACTTTGCTCCTCTTCTCTGATCCCAGGGAACTGCAGCTTTGCTGTGTAAAAGAATAAGAAAGTGGGGTAAAGGGGAGACCTGAGAGGGAAGATTGGGGGTGGAAAGGGCAAGTTAAAAGAGTAAAGGAAGGAGGGACTGGAACAGGAATGGGGCTGCTACTGACTGTTCTTGGATCTGCTTGTGCAAATGAACATTTTAGATACTTATGAGTTGAATGCAGTGGTTCCTGAAAAGTGGAACATATTTTGACTCTTGTTATTACAATAACTGAATAATTAAACCTACCTGCCTGAAGCTTGACATGTATAGTAATTAAAACACATTAAAAAATATGAAATGATCTGTCCTGTGTACATTATTTCTGGTGATTAATGTACTTATTGGGTGTTCTTTGGCGATGGGTTAATCTAGTTCCAGAAAAACCACACTCCTTCTAGAAAAATCTCACAGCAAAATTCTGCATGGAAAAAGTTGAAGTAAAAAAAGTTAGTCAGCCCATGCACTAACTTCATCCGGACAGTTGGTTTAAAGATCTCTACCATGTGCTGGAAGTCAAGCCTGTGCTAATAGTCCATTCTTCTTGTTTGTACACATTCATTTCATTAGTAATCTCTCCTGAAAGTAGCTACAGCCCTCCTCTATTTGTGTGTGATGTTTCACGTATAAAGGCAAGGGTTGGAAACACGTGTGTTCACTGGAAAACCAGAGACCCCAGGAGTTTTGAATTCCTTGCTCACAAGAGGAATGCAGTGCCTGAAGCCAAGGGGCATCAGATTCCTCTGCTCCAGGGATGTCAAATTAATCCAGCCCCATGGTCCAGATGAGTAGCACAGGGCTTGTCCGCAGGCCTGACTGGGCCCACAGGTCAGCCCACAAGTTGGATCTGGCGTGTGGGGCTGGTCCAGCCCCATGCACTGCATGCAGCATGTGTGCTGGTCCAGCCCCTTGTGGCACATACAGCGCATGC